GTACTCTGCTACAGCTTAGGTACACAGCCTAGCTACACAGCCTAGATACTCTACTCTGGCTACGCTCCGGAACTCGCCCTCACAAGGTCGTAGCGTCGGGAGTTCCAGAGTCCCAGCGCTGGCTCTCACAGCATCCCAGGGTCTTCAGATGGCTGGTCGTGGGTCTTGGGTCTTGAGTTACAACTGGCCCCCGATCGTCCAGGGAGCTCCGGTTATATGCCCAGTCCCCAACGAGGGGTGGGGCCGTGTGCGCCACCAGACATCCCACAGAGCACACACAGCCCCCCCCGTTGGCGGCGCCCAGAGGCTTAAGCGTCTGGACCCCCTGGGAACCCAGCGCCTGGCGCCCAGGGGATTACGCGTCTGGACCCACCTGGGAACCCAGAGCCTACAGCAGCCCCTCCCTTCTTATGTCACTACATAATTAAATTGTATCACTGCCTAAATATTTAGTTGAATACAAACATGATTGCTTGGGTGACCAACGTATCAAGTGTGCTCCTGTACTGAGCCAACACAGGTCATTCCACTGCTGGATAAGGGCCTCCCCATGCCATGCCAGTCATGGGGGCTGTTTGGCTATACTTCACCACGCTGGTCAGTGCGTATTTGAGACCACAACTGTGGGAGCATTAGCAGTGGAGTGGCTGTGGGGTGTGCAGCCGTTGCGACTGCACTGGGACCTACATGCCGGAGGCGCTCGGGTATCGGGTTACAAAGAGCGAGGGAAATTGACTGGGGCCCCCCATTCAACTCCTGACACCAGGGCCCGTGCTGCCCAAGATACGCAGCTGCTGTTCAGAAATTCAGTACAACGGTGGATGTTGCTGCAAGATAATACGTTGAGAGAAATTCTTCACACGTGTTCGCTTACAGCCACATGAAAAGTAATATACTCGCTGGTAATACCTAAACTCTTAATCCTTCCCATGAGGGCTGTGTTCCAAAATTTTGGATTGATCATAAAATCCTAAAATCAGATGCAGCTACGACGTATAAGATGATCTGGAATTTTTGCTTTGATTCATTTAAATCAAGATGATTTTTCTTTTATTGCATCACTCAATCGTTACAGTTTATATCAGTTTCAGATGACTCCTGCAAATATGCATAAATAACGCAAAATGTAAACACCGTGACCATGTGCTCTATAGGAAAAACAACCTCACATTAGTCAGTAAAGCTGCCTTTAAAATACTAACATATATAATAGGTGACGTTTCAGGTAATGGCCCTTCTTCATGGCACAGAGAGACCAAGGAGGAAGAGTGGGTTGTGCTTGTGCACCACAGCCAAGGCAGCAACATCACCAAATAATTTATTGAATTTAAAGTGACCCATTTTTAAGTGCCCCTAAATACACAAACAGTTGACTCATTCTGAGTCAGCAGTAACATTCACAGAAACTAACAAAGGATTAAGGTATTATTTTGTAAATGTCATGTAAATAAAAAGACATACATTTTATATTTCGCTTATTTGAAATTCCAGCACTGCTAGGTTTTTAAGGGCTTCATTATGAATTTGCTGCATTAATGGCATATTTAAAATAAAATAAAAACCTAAGCAAATTGTTTTCTTCTCTGTATATGAAAACGTAATTCCTGGCAGCAGTTTGCAGTCAAATATGTGTCACGAGAAATTGTAGCTTTTAACTCTCTTTGAAACATGTGACCGCTGTAGGACATGTTTGAGTTCATGTAATGCATTATTCAATGTTTCTCATTGTCAATTGAGAGTAGGAATAAGGCTGGATTGCTGTAAATTACTGCCAGTCAGATAATAATTTAGTTTAATGCCAAATTTTCTCCTGTATTTACAGTCGTGAATATAACACCATGTATTTTTATTTGGCGTGTTTGAGTGACCTGCCAATTGCACTGCAATCTTAAAGGATGTATGTTCAACTTCTTTCGCACCGTACGTCGCCAACCGTGCTGATGGAAGATCAAGGAAATCGGCTATCCACCCTGGGCTGTGCCAGAGGGTACAGCAACTGTGGGTGTCATGAGGATCCGAACACCTCCGGCATAAAAACATACAACATTCCTGGCATTTCCCTTATAACAAAGGTGATAAATACTGATTTTTATGATGACATAATCTTTGAATACAGTAGCACACAGACAGAAGTAGGCTCAGTACTGAGTTAGGATCCAGTAGTTACTTAGATTTAAAATGCAGTCATTATAGTGTATGGAACTACTCCTATAAATAACAATAGCAAACTTCACAGATTATCTCTGTAATGTAACCGAAACCCACCGAGAACCACACCCGAATGGTACACCCCCAACTTCTAGAGTCTGGCTGCATCCCTGCTCTGGGCATCTCATGAGTGCATGCACGTCACCTAAAACGAGTAACCTATGTCCTGCAGCACAGTAAACCAATATCCATACCGGAGATACATAGTTAGGCAAGCTGTGTCCAATACTGGTATTCACACCTACAATACAACACAGAATAAAATAGTGTCTAAACGTAAGCGCACCTCTAAGATGCTGCACAAAACAGTGGGGCATGGTAATCATGGAGATGACAGCTCAGATGACAGGGGGAAGTAAATGTTAGACCACAAGAACAGCAGAGGAGTAAGACCGATTGGCCATTGAGTGAAGGTCGACTGGAGTCTTCTACAGAAAGTCTCAGTTTTCAGAGAAGTGCAGTGAGGAAAGCAGAGGGAGACGATAAAATATCTTTAAAAGACTGTGATGCTGTATATTTACGAACAACACTTTCCCAAGCTGTAGGAGGTGCGATGCGTAATAATAATATAATGAGGGGAAGTGGGGTGCCGTGGTGGCCTTGTTATCTCCATTACCTGGTATTGAGGCTAGAAGTTTGGGGCTTGAGGCTAGGGGCTTGAGGGTTGAGGCTTGGGACTTTGAGCTTGGGGCTTGGGGCTCGGGCCTTGAGGCTAAGGGCTTGAAGTTTGGGGCTTGTAGTTTGGGGCTTGCGGCTTGGGATTTTGGGCTTGAGGCTTGGAGCTTGGGGTTTGGAGCTTGAGGCTTGGTGCTTGAGGCATGGGGCTTGTGATTGGTGGTTTTGGGCTTGAGGCATGGTGCTTGAGGTTTGGGGCTTGAGGCTTGAGGCTGGAGGTTTGGGGATTGAGATTTGGGCTGGTGGACTTGGAGCTTGAGGCTTGGGGCTTAGGATTTGTCGCTTAAGGCTTTGGCCTTGGGGTTTGGGGCTTATGGCTTGTGGCTTGGAGCTTGGGGTTTGGGGCTTGGAGTTTGTGACTTGCAGCTGGGGTTTTGGGCTTGAAGCTTGGAGCTTGAGGTTTGTTGATGGGGTTTGTGACTTGATGATGGAGGTTTGGGGCTTGAGGCTTGCGGCTTGCGGCGTGAGGCTTGGGGCTGGGATATGGGGCTTGGAGTTTGAGGCTTGTGGCTTGAGACTTTATGCTGGAGGTTTGTGGCTTAGGGCTTGAGGTTTGGGGCTTGAGGCTTGGGGCTTGAGATTTAGGCTGGGGACTTGGAGCTTGAGGCTTGTGGCTTGTGGCTTGGGGCTTGAGGCTTGAGGCTTGGGCCTTGGGGCTTGAAACTTGAGGCTTGGGGCTTAGGGTTTGTGGCTTAAGGCTTTGGGCTTGAGGCTTGGGGTTTATTCTTGTGGCTTGAAGCTTGGGGATTGGGGCTTGGGTTTTGGGGCTTGGAGTTTGTGGCTTGCACCTGGGGGTATTGGGCTTGAGGTTTGGGGCTTGAGATTTGGGACTTGGGGCTTGAGTCTTGGGGCTTGAGGTTTGGGGCTGGGGGCTTGAGGCTTGATGCTGGAGGTTTGTGGCTTAGGGCTTGAGGGTTGGGGGCTTGAGGCTTGGGGCTGGGGGATTGGGACTTTGGGCTTGCTCATTTCAGAATGAATTTACTGACTTTCGTGGTGCACGTGTGTGAGATTTCTTAATAATTGGCGGTATTGTGCAGCAAAGTCAAATTATCATTAAAACAACTTATATTAGTGGTGGTCCTTGCTATGCCAGTGCTCCTTGGTGAATACGTCTGTAACTATCCACAAAGCCATGGGATAAGTAATGACTAATTTTCTAAAAATAGATGGTTTTACCATATATATAAGACAATGAGATTTTTTTGTAAAGGGTCAAGAAGCCCCAGTGATTGCAGTTTCAACCCGCAAGCAAATTGGTTGTGTTGCACGTGTGTGCACACACATGGAATGAAAACTGAAAAGTTGAGCAAAGAAGGCTGCAGAGATGCATGGTTGAAGTTTACATTAAGAGGTAAAGAGAGGGAAACACGTGCAAGCAGCCTTGTGCAGGACATGTCTCAGTGAGAAGATGGTCAAGAAACTACTGGACATCTATCGAAAAGAGCTTCATAGCGCATCAGATTCCTCCAGTATAAGTATTCTGTTTCTTAATGGTGACAGAGGGGCCGTCCATAAATGACGTTAAGCATCTATGGGGGGGGGGGGGGGGGGATCAGACATTTGTGACGATGTGTGACGAGGGTCGGGGGGGGGGTGAGGAATGTGACGTCACATCAAAATGCGCAACTTTAAATAAATATAAACAACACGTTCTACTTAATTAAATAGTTTAAAACGATTTGAAGCATGTTTGATTTTTTTTTGGAGGGGGGAGCTTTATGACGTCATATTTGAGGGGGTCTGACTTTTTGTGACGCCGTGTGACGAAGGGGGGGGGGGGGGGTAAAAAATCGTCCAAAATCGCGTGACGTCATTTATGGACGGCCCCAGAGTGGCAGCCAAGGGCAGGAACGTTTACAATACGTTGTCCACTGAGGAGATGGAGCAATCAAATCAGCTCTGTGCAGTTGCCAGGGTGAATTGCTACTTCGCAGATCTGTACGAGATGGCGACGACTTTATCCAGCGGTCGATTGATCACGGCTGCCAATGATTGTTGTACGAGTGTGGTGGGCCATGCACGTGAGCGCGTGCATGCATAGCTCTATGTGCATCTTCTGCTGTTGTGTGTCCTACACCCACCCCCTGAACTCTGGACTACGTTGGTGGCAATGACAGGCTGGGCGCGGTGGTGGTGCTGGTGGGGGCAGGTGCCGTGTTCATCACATTCGTCGTCTGCATTGCACTCTTCTGCTTCATTTTCTTTTGCCACAAGGCAAAGTGCATCAAGCATGACGCAGGCCTCCTTGTCAACGTGAACCTCGTCGGTGAGCAGATGGACGTACACAGGCCTCAGTTGCTCACTCTGTTTCTTCCCCAATGTTCCCAGTCTGGCTTGGAATAGGGGTTATCAGCATAAGGCACGACAATTAGAGTACCGAGGTAGGACTTTCCATAATAATTTTCTATTATTGTACGCTATATTTGCTCACAGACTGTGCACACACACTACCGCCGTATCATCGACTAAACTATAAACTAACTATTTTTTTTATTTTACCGGGTAAGACCCACTGAGCTATACAGCTGTTTTTCAGAAGCAAGCTGGAAAGAAATGATAGCTCAACGAAGTGGCTTATCATCATGTGTAAATTGATAGCAGCCAAATTCTCTAAATGCATGTTTCTAAATGTAGAGGGAAAAACCGGAGAACACGGAGAAAAATTCATGCCTCCACGAGGAGAACATGCAAACTTCAAATATACAGGCGTCAGGGTTGGGATCGAACCCACGACCTGTGTACCAGGTGACGTAGTTAACATCTCGCCACCGTGGCAGATGTGGCCTGCTCAGGAATTCTCAGATCAGTGTACTGGATTGTTCTGACAGGAATCCAGCAACGACGCATGCCACCATAGAGGTGACTGGAGAGCACAGGAGGTCTTATCAATGCATGGGAACAGCGTCAGATCCACACTTTGTAAGTCGGGGGTGTCCTCCTGCCGTGTGCGGCACGTGTGTCTGTGTCGACTGGTTTTGATAGTCTATGTGTGATAACCGTGTCAATGTGTGTGTGTACTGACCAATACAAAATATTGCGGGAGTCTCTTAGCCCATATCTAAAAACACATGCAGCTACATCCCTGTTTGGGCGGGGAGGGGGAATCGTGAGGGAAGGGTGGGGGGGGCACATAAAGCTACCAATTATATGGAAGCCTCAACAACGAATCAGAATGGAGGAATCCGATGAGCTATAAAGCTCTCTTCAACAAGTGTCCACAAGAACAAACAATACAAAAGCACGATTGGAGTGCAAAGTATAGTCCAGTCGTAATGACACATGGTGAGTTGGCAGCTCTTCCCTCCACCAGCTCTGCTTACTTTTACATAGCCACGTCAACTCAGCCACGAGCCCCGTCCATGGTGAATGCCTTTTTCTCACATTGGCCCATGACCCTAAGGGTCATGGAAACAAAACCACTAACATCCCAACCCCATTGGCTACAGAATCTTTCTAGTTTAAGGCGTAGATTTTCGCGACCAATATCATCCATAATATAGTTTTTTTTGGGGGGTTATGGAGCATCTCTCTACTGAGTGATACTAAGCCAGCCAGTTCCACTCAAACATGGCGCCTGTGTCAATCTTATCAGCCATTTATTATAAAGATGTTGAAGTGTCACAAGTTGATGATTTTAATCAGTCGCTGATGATTGAGCACGTGTGCACGCACATGCAAATTATCACTCTGAATTAGCATTGAATGCGTTCCGTTCCTGAAGATTACATTTTCAAAAAGATCAACTTTGACTATCACTCTATCCGTTATGGAGTTACAGTCATTCGTGTATCATGCTAACATCATCTGCATATAGAAACGCAATTTTGACTAATGCAATTAAAAATAATTAAGCGGAATGCTATCCGATGAACTTTATCTGACCTTAAAAATCTATAGGAAATATTTCAAGTGGATCAGGGAAATGTCAACCAGTGGTCAAAGTAATTAGATGGCTTTCAGTTGTCAAAATTATAGTTCCGATCTTAAATAAAGCCACTCCAACTCTCTGGTTTCTATGTGTTGTGAAGAAGGATTATTGCCCAAAACGTCACCCAATTTTAATAAGTTTTTTACGACAGTGTTATGATCAAATGTGTTGAGTTTTTTGTTTTATTTGTGATTGTACACCACTGAAAATACAGTATCACCAAATAATGTATTAAATAAAACTAGTTTTCTTCATTAAGGACCTTACTGTATGGCCAAAACATTTACATAAATGATTGCATATCATTCGAAGGTATTAGAGATATCACGATTAAGAAATAATTAATCAACCAAGGTGGCTCAGCGGGAGAGCGAGCAGCTCTAAATCCTGGTTGGGGGTTGACTCAGTCCATCATCCCTCCGGTGTCGATAAAGTGAGTACCACCCTGTGGATGAATTAACAGTGGTCGTTCTGCGGGAAAAAAAAACTTCCCCACAACTTCACCACCCCCCCAAACAGGAATGTGGAATTTCCACCACTGCCTCAGGGCTGTAAATAAGATGAGCTCATTCGAGCAATAGATTTCTCCACACTTTTTGGAAGGTGAGCCATGACCTAACCAAGTAGGCCAAGAGAAAACAACGCCAGAGGCCAGAGAGAGGCAGAGTGGATAAGAGTTGGAGACTTCACCCTTGTTTGTTTGTGCACCGCTTACAACGGCAGCACCGACAAGTACGTGTTTACCGAATAGGTCGTACAAGGCTATGTGTCAATGCTATATGTTACAACAGCCTTAAATGTGTTTTTCTTTCACGTGCAATTGCCTTAATTAACCTTAATTTCTGCTACAGACGCAGCCAAAACCCCCGGCGAAGCCTCTGGCTGTGTCGGAAGGTCACCACCGGTGCTCGACAGATCACAGGAGAACGGAGTTTCGAGCAGCAACAATCACGCTCATCAAAGGGCACCCAGAGAGGCGTGGGTCCCAGTGCTCATCACACATACCGCACAAGTGGTGACTCACGAAGCTATCAGCACGCCCATCGCCATACCTTAGTGATATCCCGTAGTGATTATGGGGGGCTGAGCCCCCCCCCCCACCCCCGTGCAATATTCATCACCAGTGGCTATCTTTCCACGTACGTCGGGCCTGACAGCTGGAGCAGAGTGCATGATAGACAAAAGCAGATCATATCGTTAATTGTCCTGTCTGGCGTTTCACATTTGTTTAAGGTTTGTTTAATCCTGGCTGGTGTCACCCCCCACCCCCTAATTTATGCATGCTCCCCCCACCCCCCTCCAATTGAACCAGAGCATGCTACTTGGTCATTTACACACTGTTTTTCATTTACTGCTTCTGAAAGGGGTTGTACCCTCGTGAAAATTGGGCCTGCCCCCATACCTGCCCTACAAAATGTAATATTTATGGTCCAGCCATTGGTCCCAAGCCCAAGGCTAAAACTGCATTGTATGACAGCACCAGGCTGTCGATGGTCAGATTGCCCGTCTCTCTTCGTGTCAACAGTCACAGCATCTAGTGCAGTTGGAGCCACATGGGAATGATAAGTGTTGAGTCACCCGAGATCAGTGTTAATGCAGTCTGCACGCGTTTATTTAATTTCAGTCAGTCGAGTCGATGGACATTCTGCGGAAAGTTCAGTCAAATCCCAGTCTGTGGATTTAATTTAGTCATGGCATTTTATGCAGTTGATTAAAGTAGTCAATAATGTAATTCTTCACCCTTGGATATTATTGGTGCGAGGGGTGGGCACTCCCCCCCCCCGGGCACCCCCCATATTATAAGGTGACTCGATCGGTGAAGCGCAGAGTATTCACTCGCTCCCGAAGAGAGAGAAACGACGAAAACGCCATGTGTAATAACGTCACTACATTCTTTTAGTTTTTCCTCTTCATTCAGACTTGGATAATTCCGTCTCGTCATCGTGGTGCTCTGGTCGGTAGCATAGACGTGATTCTTTATGTTTTTCGTCCACGGATTGCCATAATTGACTGAAATTAAATAAAAACTATGAGTTGATCGATACACTCATGGTGCAGTGGCAGCTGTGGAGAATGTAACGTTTTATTAGGCCACCTGAGACACGTTTTTGAAAAACAAGGTCTGGCACCTTTGGCTGCCTCCACATCCAGACGCGTTATTGCCGGCCACTGCTTCTGAATGTGGTTGTACCCTCCATGAAATCTGACCTGCTCTCATATGACTGCCCTGGCCAATGTCATATTTTGGGCGGTTCGTTAGTCTAAAGCCCCACGCTAATGCTTATACAGTTTAGAGCTGCAGGCTATCTGTACTTAACAACGTTATATCTTGCATCTCATAAATCTACAATTGTATGCGCTCTATCTGCCTATCTCTCTTATCTCTCTCTCTGGGTGCTTCGAGGAAATACAAAGGCAGTAAAGTACAACATCACACATGCGACTCCCAAAGGCACTGACTTATGAGCGGATATGTAATCATCTGTAGAAACTGACAGTTACACTGCACAAATAGGAAAATGGACCAAGCGCAAACTGTTTTCGGTATGTTTCATCCAGTACACCCAATACCAAGTCATCTCTTTAGGACTCTCAAACTCTTAAGCGGGCTTGAGTCTGCATAGTGCTCACATGGGTGACAACCATTCGTAAACATGTGTTATTGGCAGGCTGCAATGCTACGTGGTGGCGAGATGTTAACTGCCTCGCCTGGTATACAGGAGGACATGGGTTCCATCCCAACCCTGGCGCCTGCTGTATATTTGGAGTTCTCGTTGTGGTCGCGTGGATGTTTCCCCGGGTCATGTTTTTTTCGAGTATTGGGCTGCTATTAATTTCTTACATGATAAGCCACTTCGTTGAGTTCTCACTTGTTGTGGCCAGGTCGCTTCTGAAAAAGAGCTATGTAGCTCAGTGGGCCTGACCTGGTAAAATAAAATAAATTGTTTAGTTTAGGGTAGCAAAGAGCAGTGGAGAAAAAAACACGTTGTTGCTCTGTACATCTACACCTTCACATCTATGCTTCACACCATCAACAACCCACACTGACCGGCGTGGTGAAGTACAGCCAAATAACCCCCATGACCAACACAGCATGGGGAGGCCTTCATCCAACAGTAGAGTGACAACGGACCGTACATGCACACACACACACTATCTAGCACATAAATGATTAAGTCATTGATTATGGTCTAACTTGACAAAAGCACTCATTCATTCTCCTTTTCAGTCTTGTAATATTGTACAATCGTAATGCCGAGCTATTTTTCGCGCACACAAACACGAAGATATAGGAAGTAACGCTATAGAGTAATGCCTTGATAAATCCAGGTGAAATCGAACAGGAGCAAATGTAATACCTGGTTGTAGATTTGACACGGTTTGGAGGTTTTGGTGTAGGAGAGGCTTTCTTGCAACAGAAACAGATCCTACACATTGCATCAAGTAATCGTTTTGTTTCGATGTAAAGCTTTCGTGACTGCAGGGATTCATCTTCTTGGTTCTTTCGGTAAAGTCACGTAGAAGGGAAGTAATAAAATAATAAAAATAAAACATAATAAAATAATTCTCATGATGTTTCGGCCACAACACAAGCAGCCTTCTTCAGGTGGAGAACAGGTCTGTCAAGTAGACAGAGTCTGAATGGCACGCTCCAGGCTTAAGGCGACTATTTCTGCTGATATGGAGGAGCGAAGAGCGTCTTTACAAAATAATTTGCATATCAAGAGGAATTTAGCATATTTATGGGAAATGCAGATATGCGATTAGCACTACTTGTGAAATGCGTAGGAGTTTTGGCGAGGGGTTTAAAGTCATTATGCCCGTGCATTATGCAGGATTAGCAGCATCAAAGGGAGGGAGTAAGGTTATAATTAATAAAGGGAAGGAATGTTAATAATATGGCGCCGCAGCAACTAATATGCTTATAGACTATCGTTTTGTCCCAACTGGCAAAGACTATAGCTCAGGGGCCGTCCATAAATGACGTCACGCATTTGTGACGATGTGTGACGAGGGGGGGGGTGAGAAATGTGACGTCACATCAAAATGCACAACTTTAAATAAATATAGACAACACGTTCTACTTAATTAAATATACTTTTTCATAAATGTTTTCTCCTACAACATCAGAGTGCAGCGCCACATTAAATACGCACTACCATGAAAATGGTTTAAAGCGATTTGAAGCATGTTTTATTTGGGGGGGGGGGGGGGCAGAGCTTTATGATGTCATATTTGAGGGGGGTTTGACTTTTTGTGACGCCGTGTGACGAGGAGGGAGGGTCAAAAATCGTCCAAAATCGCGTGACGTCATTTATGGACGGCCCCTCAACGAAGTGGCTGATGTAGAAATACATAGCAACCAAATCTTCTAAACGCATGTTTCTAAACGCACGTCTTTGGATGAAAAACTGAAGGGCCCAGAGACAAATCGACGTAACCACAGGCAGAGCATGCAAACTCCAAATATACAGCAGGCATAATGGTCGGGATCGAACCCACGACCTCCTGTATACCAGTCGAGGTAGTTAACATCTCGCCACCGTTCGTTTCTAACTATCTGGCCTCTCTGTGTGAGGTGAAGAAGAGACATTTCTCGAAACGTCACCTTTTAGAAACGTTTCCTTTTGCGGCAGTGCCAGTGATGAATACGTTCAGTTTTTTTGTTCGAAATGTATACACCATTGTCACATGCAGTCTCACAAAATAATAATATGTCTATTTCAACATTCCCATTACTTGGTACACATAATTCGAATGATGTGCTTTATTGTGTGGTTTCTCTGGTACTTGCATTACACCGTGCATGCATGGGGGAATTTAATTGGAGGGGTCATACCATTTCATACAAGAGGGGTGACAACGTGAAAAAAAATATGATTTTGGTGTATATTAGCCATCACAGCGACACCCTACAAATAAATGTGATTTGGCCAAGGACTCTAATGCATTCTTTGGTTCTTTCGGTAAAGTCACGTATAAAGGAAAAATAATAAATTAAATAATAGCATACGACGTTTCGATTGCAACACAAGCAATCATCATCAGGTATAATGAAATAGCGACATAAAATCTAACCAGAAAAAATTATAGACAGACCACCCCACAGAGACGATCACCCCTCTCTGTACCTGTGTTGCCCGCTCTGTGTATCTTGGTGATATCTGTCTGCTTATATGTCTGTCTATAATTTTTTCTGGTTAGATTTTATGTCGCTATTTCATTATACCTGATGATGATTGCTTGTGTTGCAATCCGAAACGTCGTATGCGATTATTTAATTTATTATTTTTTCTTTATACGTGACTTTACCGAAAGAACCAAAGAATAATTCCTGCAGTCACGAAAACTCCAAAGTTAAGATTGACTCTAATGCATGCTTTCTTGCATTCAGTATTTTGGACAGCTATTAAAAAACGTACTGTAAATTATGTTTTTTTTTTCAGTAATTACATTTGCTGTGTTGTAACAATACTGTATTGTGATTCAGTGTCTAAAGTTTACATTGATGCATGAATATCGTTGTACTGTCAGTGATCTTGAACACAAGCTCCATCAACTTGAAGTAGTATGCAGAGATACTGACCTCACAGGTACAATGCACATGTCTAGAGTGTAAATCAAGTTACCTGTATCCATATCAAAGAACAAGTATAATTTATTTATCCCTCTAATCAACTGTACACCTCATGTCTCTGCTGGCTGTTAACATAATTGACATCCCTTTGCTGTATGAAAGCCACCCCACACACCGTGTTGAATATTGGGTTGTTTACCCATACTTCACCATGATGGCCAGTGCAGATTGAAGACGTTAGGGGTGGGGTGGCGAGGTGTTAATTACATCGCCTGGTATACAGGAGGCCGTGGGTTCGATCCCGACCCTGACGCTTGTTATATTTGGAGTTTGTGTGTTCTCCCCGTGGTAAGGATTTTCCCCCGGGTCCTCCGGTTTTTCCCTCCACATTTAGAATCAACATACATTTAGAGTATTTGGATGCTATATATTGCCACATGATAAGCCACTTCGTTGAGCTATCGTTTGTGGCCAGGTCGCTTTTGAAAAAGACCTACATAGCTCAGTGGGCCTTATCTGGTCATTTAATAAAATGAATGTATTGTGGTCAGGAATTGAATTCCCATGGATGGGTTCCACAGTGCAGTGCAGTGCACAAACGGCT